ACTCTTTTAGTAGAATAGTTAACTATTATTATTATTATAGGACATTAGCTTTCTATGCATGTATATATATATATATATATATATATATTTATATATTTTTTTTTTCCTGTATAGAATGTAGCATGTTTGTGGTGATAAATTCCATTATAAGCTAAGCATTATTTCCATAAATGGATAATATTGTACTTTAAGTAACATTAAGTACTCTAGATTGTTTTCAGAAACAATAAAAATGTGTAGTCATGAGAAAACTAACAGTAAGTAAAGACAAATCATATAAGATATTGCATCAGCCAAGGCTTAATAAATTCAGTAAATATCCTTAGACGTAGCAAATATATATATATATCCAACAGGGGCAATGAACATTCACTGCTACAGTAGGCCATGCATGTTGGGGAATAACATGTTATTATGAATTTTATCCCACCAATATTATGCAAGCACAAAAATGTTCACCATAAAAATTTTCTTACACTTAGAGTTGCACTAGATTTATCAATACTACTTCTAAGTTTCTAGCAAATATTTGGGTAATTTTTAAGTTTTGTAAAAATTTTGAAATTTCCATTAAGAATTGACTCTCATTAATATGTTCTTCTTCAAGTTTTCAAATTTTAGAACTTTCAGTTTTTATATCTCAACATGAATTATGATTTTGTTAAAGAATTTCAAAGGAAAAACTATTTTTACCAATGATCAACATATATGATTTTTTTACAATATTAATTTTAAATGTTAATATATATATGCCACAGATTTATTTACAAATATTAATGTTTTAAAAATAAATAATTGTACTTACAATAAAGTAACAACATCCCCTCGATTTATGTCAAAATAACGTGCTTTCCAACGGTTGAGTAACACATAGTCAGAAAGGATTTTTCCGTCTTCCTGTTCAGGATTTAGTTCTGGCTATAATAGAAAGAATTACATAAAAAATTGCCTATAATAGCCTTTCATACTTAATTTTTCACTTCTCATTCTATAATTAAATGATTCATATGCAAAATTATTCTTAAATATATCACTCTCAATATATTTATACTTAATCATTAGTATGCTAAAATACCAGTATATAATAATTGGAGACATTCTAATTTTACTCATTTCTTTCCATTAACTACAATATTTATACTTACATTTAATTGAAGATATCTTCTAAAAGTACAGAAGAAGTTAAGTACATTATATTAAACAATTTTAGAGCCTAACCATGTCCTTAGAATCCATGTCTCCACCTCTGTTCATGCTCTATCTGACAACTGTGCATTTTGACAACAGCCCTGCTGCCTAAGTTTTCATTTCAAAAGGCTCCATGGTAAGGCTGTTACGTCCAAAGCACATCACTCTGCCCTAATGGCTTTCCATAATCTATCTAGTGTATGAAGATGACAATTCTCAGTATTTATATTAACAATTTGTTCAAACAGTAATTCACATGTGCTGTGTCCTAAAACTTGAAGAGCTAATCTTAATAAGGAATAACATGATTACCAGTTTCACTCTCCAGCTATTTGAGATACACAATTATTGAATGGGAGGTAGGACTGGAAGTCTTATCTTGATGAACCCATATATTTCTCGATTCTGTTGCAACCGTTGCCTTGGACATATGGATGACTTTTGCTACTTACCTTTGTGTTTTGAATTCTCACTTTTTACAAAACATTGCACTTTGCTTACCTTGGCTGGATTACAACTTGTTGTCAATTTGCATTTTCTGGATGGTTCTGGCACTCCAATTTTATTCATATTCCTTTGTTTTCCAATGCCATTAATAAACAAGGGATATCACCTTTGAAATTCTAAATCTCCTATCTGAACATATCTTTATGATCTAAATATATGGACATTCTGTTACTTACCCTTCCCCAAATTTTCAGTAGCATCACACTATCTGGAAAACCCAAACAAAGTCAAAATATAGTTTTAATAAATCCTATTGCACTGCAACTTGATATTGGCTGTGATTGTCATGTACCTAGCTGATATGCATATTTCAAAAATTGTTTTAATATAATGTACTCAATCTTCTGTACATGAATAGCTATAACTTGATCGTTTCAGAATAATTTGAATATCATGCAGTAAGTAATAAGGTCAAAAGCAACAAATTACAGTCTTTGCTTTATCAATGAAAAATCAAACAAAATACAAATAAAATATAAAGTCAAAAGTCACAAAAATTACATTTAATGAAATAACAAATGTAATTTTTTTACTGTTATTCTTTTGGATAATTTAATCTTTTGATTTACTCTACTATTATAGACTGTATGTTGTTTTTATATGATTTTAAATTTCAGTTTCATCATATTCATGTACTTACAGGCATACTTACCTGTTATGACCCCTTTGATTATTAATACTTATTAAGCATGGTAATGAAACGTATTTTATTGAGGAAGCCAACATCTCAAAAACTGAGAATCAGGAATTAAAATAAAGAACATAAGTAGTGGAACGACATTTGTCTAATCATGATAAAATATTTATCAACAATATTTAACTGTGTTTTTCTCAAAGCTGTAATACAATTTCTACTGGGTCTCACAAACTATCCTGAATAATAAGAACACCTTCAATTTTCTACTTTGTTTTTACATGTAAAAGAAAAATAACTGACAGGCTTTAACTTGAAATGTTGCAAATTAACAAATTTAATGAGTAATTACAATTTGGGACATTTTTGTTATTTATTGATACTGAAATCTAACTTTTGATCACATTTGACATAACCATATTTAACACCTGTTTAACATATTAAAAGACATTTTCGTAAAAAATAAATAAGAGCATTGTAATTCATTTTTAATAACAAGTGCAACAGAAAAATGTTTCATGTTTGAAACTCAAGAGAAAGATGTTATGCCAGATAATTATAACTTTTATGATTTATAATGTTAAATAAAACAGACCTATTACCTGCATAGAAACACCTTCCACCTTGGCTACATAAGACACACAGTCTAAAAATGTAACCGCAACAGGAAGTGTGAAGGCCAGGTGACGAACAACTCTCTTCAGGATACGACTCCAAACTGTCATTGTAACTTCTCTCAAATAAAGGCTTTCTCATGGATAATTTCAGACATTTTGATCAAAAATATATCGCATACAGTGTGTGTAGAACAATCTGTATATAGGGAGAAAAAATAACTGTTTCTTTACATCCAATTTTATTGAAATCTAGATGATTAAACATCTAGATTTTTACTTTGCAAAAGTACAAAAAATTAAGTAATGTTGAATCCCTGAAAATAATAAATAGACAACTGAACAAAGTATGACTTGAGTATTTTTTGCTTGTGTGATATGACTACTTGTTAGGCCAATACAGTTGTTTTTTATTGAAAAGGAAATGTTTCATGAAGAAAAGCAATGATCTCAATGCTTTCTGATTTTACATGTAAAAGAAATTTTACATACACTAAATATTTGAAAATTATTAGTATTAAGCCCATTACCCATGTTTTAATTCTTTTCCACAAGCAAAAATATAATTACTGTAGCAAACTGCAATTTATTTGAACTTAGAATCTGTGAACACACACTGTCATATACTTATTCAGTTTTACAGCAAAAAAGTACAAATGTAACTTTTCCATTAACTTTACTGTAACATTTTGATAGGTAAATGTAATGTTTTAGGCAGCCATATTCCAGGGAAAATAATATAAGTATCTGAAAAGCAATGCTTAATGAACTTTTTCATTATTTAGTAAATCTTCTTAAGTTTCAGTTTTTAAAAATAAACATTAGTGAAAATTCAAAAAAATGAATAATAACTGAGAACTCTCTCAGAGATAAAAAAAATAAATATTTTTTCAGTCCTCTTCAAGCAAAAGTTACCAACTTTAAGCAGGGTACTGGCCCTTTACAATTATGAAAATAAAGCAAAGTTTCTCAAAACTGGGAAAGCTTATGCATTGAAACTGAAGTTTTTGAGAAAATATAATAAATTCAATTCTTTAGAATTTGAGAAAGTCTTAGATGCTTCCAGTTTTAATCATCAAATTTATAGGTCAATTTTGAAATTGCTACTGTTTCTTTTCTGTTGTAAATGTTAGTAATTCAAACAAGAGAAAGAAGGTTAGTAACATAAGTCTTAATAGTTTATGCATTATATCATTGCTGACATACCTCAGGATGCCTCTGACACTAGCACCATATATTACACAAAACCTAAATATAGCTAGTTTACTTTCATTAAAAATAAATGTGTCCACTTTACAGTGATAAAAAAAGTTAGATGAAATTGTATTGATCTGTATCATGTTTTGTTCTTAAAATTTGATTGTAAATTGATATAATTTATGGAAGAATAACAGTTTAAGCAAATAAAGGCCGAGTTGCTCTACTTTATTTTTGTGTGTTTAAAAACACAACCTTTTCAACACAACAACCCTTTTTGCATGGATTCATTATTATTATTTTCTAAAGTAATATAGATAAAAGACATTATGCATATTTTCATTTATATGCAAGGTATCTTTAAAACAACATAACTTTGGATAAGGACTAATAAACAATAACATTAAGCCAAAATACAAAAGGAAAACCGATTTAGCAATTTTATGCATTCTTGTTTCTTTTCTTATTACAGGTACAAAATGGAAGACCTGGCCAGTTGATAAATCTTTTGGAAATTTCTTTATCCACTAAATGGTGGTATCTGTAAATCTAATTTTTAACATTGTGAGACTGTAACTTAAGACTTAAGTGTTATGGGGTAACAATAAAGGAAGTGGGAGATGTATATGTGTGTGTGGACCCCAGATTAAAAGAAAAAACAAACATAAAATATAATAGTACAGAAACTAATATTAAAATTATTATAACTAGTAACTCAAGAAATAACACAAAGAAGAAAGAAAATTTTGTCAAATTACTTTAGAATGTAGATAAACTTTAAGTTCTGAAACCAGGGCAAATGTGACTTATGTAAAACTAAAATGACATACTGCATGAATACAGAATAATCATACTGCCATTAAATTAATTACGTAGTGGAGTTACCTAACTTGTTCTAATACTTGTGTTACAATTACATTAATTTTCTTAAAACTTGGGCATTAGTATTTCGAAAATCAACAGTAACAGTGCCTCTTTGAAATTGAAGTTTGATCTTGACTAGAAGTAGAACTTAGTACTAGAAATTAGATTAGAAATATAATAAATGTGGTTATTTACTAAAAACGGGGATAGCTGTTAAACTAAAAACTGTACCAGATAACATTTTGGTATGAACATAGATGCCTCTAGTGTCTACAAAACTGCAGTTAAACTTAAAGCAGTGAAAGCTTTACTTACCTTTAATTGGAGGTTAAAACTCACAACTCATTCAATGTAAGCATCCATAAGTGTCGCTTTTAGTGACCTCTCTCGGTATGTTATATACTGCTAGAATTTTAATTGTTGTTGTTTATCTATTTATTTGTTATAATATTACACTGAAATATATATTCATTGAATATAAAATCATTTATGTTACACCAGAAATGTATTATTTTATTTTTCTGGTCTAAGAAGCAGTGACGAATTTAGTTATTCTGGGGCCCGATCGCTAGCATTACTCTGAACATAAGTATTTGGACAATTCATAATGGAGGGAATTAGTAACTATTAGGTCGTCAATAAATTAATGTCGCATTTAGAAACACTTTCATTAACCACCCCTATAACCTATATAATGTGTAAAGTTTAGTATACTTTAATCCCTTATAGTTATGTCATACGACGAGACAAACATTCGTCATGTAATGCTGTTTGAACATAAAACGGGAAACAACACCTCTGTAACCACAAAGAATATCCAAGAAGTTAATGGAAATGTTTTGAACGTTCGTGAGTCTCAACGATGGTTCAGCAAATTTCGTTCAGGTGACTTTAGCCTTAAAAACTGTGATGGCAGGGGCCGACATGTGGGAATTGATATTGATGATCTGAAGACGCTTGTTGGGTCTAACCCATTCACTCGTGAAATGGCCTTGGAATTGCATTTCTCTCATGAAACAATCGTAAACATATAAGGAATATGATAAACCTCCATAAAGAAGGTGTTTGTGTGTCTCAAACTCTCCGATGATCATCGTTTCCAACGCGTGAACGTTGCTTCGTCTCTTCTGGCGCGTAATGCGCGTGAACCATTTTTGGACAGAATTGTCTCCGGTGATGAAAAATTGATTCTTTATGCGAATATTAAACGCCAAAAAAAAAAAAAAAAGGACTCAATCCTAGCCAAAAACCACTTCCGGCCCCAAAACCTGGAGTCCATCCGCAGAAAGTGATGTTTTGCATTTTGTGGAACATCAAAAGAGTAGTTCATTTCGAAATCCTCAAGCAAAAGCGAACTGTCAATGTAGAGATCTATAATCAGCAATTGGAAAGTTTAAATCAAGTCCTTTGTCAGACGAGGGGCAGACGGGGCAATGCCCACGACATCTAGGGGCCTCTCTGGTCTTATCTTCTGAAAAAGGGGCCTCTGAACTTCTTATTCCACCACTGATCCAAACTATCACATATTTTCAGTGAAGTGCTCTACTGGACTCTTACTTTATATACCAAATTTCAAGGCAATCCATTAAGAAATACCTGAGATATAACATCTCCAATTTTGATTGAGTTTCTTCCTTTTATTTTTCTTCGCACCAAAGTACGGAAATTTTATTTGATAGAAAAACATACTTAACTTTTATAGATTTTTTTTCAAATTTGGTACACCTATATATCTTTACAATCTACAATTAAGTGTCAAATTTGGTCTAAAAATAAGCTATATATATTCAAAGTTATCCAACAAAAACCGCTCAAATTTAACGAAAATATTTGTGCACGCCTACGCAAAAAGTTACGTGAGCTATCGGTCTCATAATTTTACTATAGCTTTACCTAAAAGTAAAAGTGGACATTTTAGTTTTTTTTTTAATCAATCGGGTTAGAGCAGCAAAAATATAAGGTGAAAGGACGTGCAGATACATAAGTATTGGTTAGGCCAAGCAAACTAAATTATCACTTTCTAGCTCAAGTTTTCAAAAGAAATCATACGGGTGGAGTGTTATTATGCATTGCCAGCTTTTCAGCACACACTTACTAAATTTTATGAAATTATCCTCATTAAAAAGCGTTTAGCGTCACTTGTTATTAGCTTAAGCAATTAGCATAAATAATAATGCTTGTT